GAACTGCAGTCAGCTGAAGTAGCCTGCAGTGCTGCACTCTAACCACTGCGCCACCTCGGCTCTATAATGAATAAAATATATTCAGAGTCATAATGTAATCACAGGAAACATCACAAAATTAAATGCTTTAAACAACCTTGTTTTCAGATTATTCACAATGTTCTTAATATCTGAATTGCTCACCTGCTTCTGCCTGTTTCCAGTTGCTATCACCCAGGGAGGGGCAATCCAGTTGGCAAACAACGGCACGGATGGAGTCCAAGGCCTGCAGACTCTAACGATGACCAATGCTGCTGCAACCCAGCCTGGTACCACCATTTTACAGTATGCGCAGACTACTGACGGACAGCAGATTCTGGTACCCAGCAACCAAGTAGTGGTACAAGGTAGGATAAGGTCATTCTTAAATGATCTACTCAAGGTTGATGCTTTACTTATTTATTGAGTCGTTCATTCTTTTATTTGTGAAATTGTTAAAGTGCTAGTTACTCGAATAGGAGAGGCTTTTCTTCCTGTTCTTCACATGAAATCTGCTGGGAGATAAGGAATAGAGCTGAAACAAGCAAGAGCTATAACCATACTTTGTTTTTTTCTGATACAAATATGTAAACTTAAGGGAGAACAGAAATACAATCACAACCCAAACGTAAGGAAATAAATTCAGAGGTTTTTGAATCCCTGGTAAAGAGGTTAGAAAGAATTGCAGAGGCCATGCTCTGCATGCCTTAATACCTCGTTCCTTACAATTTTCTGTCCCTTTTAAGTAGACAGTGCAGGAATGGGATAGATAATTTCTACCAGCAATTTATCTTGACATCTTGCATCATGGGGTTGAAATTAGAAATGGGTTTATGTGAAACTAGCCCAATATTTCATTTGGGCTATTTTCACATTGCGTCCCTCTAAACCTTTAGCAAATGGTCTCTCTAATCTTTTCTTTAAAGTTTTATTTCAGATTTTCCCCAAATTCTCTTCAGCTTTATTAGTAGCAACAGTTTTTGGAGCAACTATACTATCAGAACTATAGGTTATTATTGCAATTAGAAATAGGAGATGTGAGACCTGTCCCAGCTTGAACCTCTGATTAAGAACGATCCTTAACACCCATTTGTTGAGAAATGTATAGTTTACTAGAAGTAAACTACGGTAATTGCATAGCCAGAACTGAAAATCATATGGCAAAATTCCCAAGTCTAAGTTTCCCCTTAGTTGCCTCCCATAACTGGCCCCTCATGTCTAATCAAATTCAAACAAGGTGTTTTCAGAACAGTCACCTCAGCCATAGGTTTGGTATGCAGCTGTGTTCCATTCCCAACTGGTTGACCTTGAAGCTACTCTCTGAAAGATACATTGAGTTTGAGTTTCATTTTATTTATATGCCGCCCTATTCCCGGGAGGACTCAGGGCGGCGCACAAACCCAAGGAGGGGAAGGGAAAAAACACAAAAACTACAAAAGTACAGGGCATTTAAAANTTTAATTTTATTCTCGCTTTCTTTCCCTGCCAAATATACTTCAACACTATTTTATTTAAATCGTCAAAATAATCTTTCCCTAATCTAATTGGAATGGTCTGGAACAAATATAAAATTCTGGGTAGTATATTCATACTAGGGGGAAAGTAGGGGGAAAGAAGTCTTAGACAATAAAATTATTATGCAAATATTTAAGAAAGAAAAGAAAAAAAAACCCAGTCCAGTTTAAAAAGTAAAAGACATTTGCAGAAATCCAGCCAAATTCCAACAATAAAAAGGAAGGGAAAAAAACTCAACTTGACTCTGGCTTAATCTTGCTGCTTAGCCTCTTCAGTCTTCAATTTTAATTTAACTTTTAATCTTTTACGGTGTTCTCTCAAATAATAATAATGAAAAGTCCTCTCACCATATCGACACACTTTCTCTCCTGCTCTTTCTTCCGTACCAGAGCTGTCCCCGACTTCAACCGCTTTGATGGCTGCCTTGCAGCCACCAGGAAAAAAAAGGCTTCTCCTGGATCAACCAGGGACTCTGCGATGTCCCTGGGATCAGCAGGATGTGCCTTTCTCTGTCACCGTCTCTACGGGGCGGTTTAGGTCCAAAAGGACTGTCCAGCAGCAGAGATATCGACTGCAATCTTGGAGCTGCAAGATTGCACGTTGTATCGCCACAACATTAGACCCGCCTCCCCAGGTTGGAATATTTTTTTTGAGTAAAGCTGCTTTTTGCAATTGACTATGGTGAATTTGTCAATATGGATGGTATTCAAGTGGTGCTCCAGTTGTTTTGGGATTGCACCCCAAGGGCCTATTACTGTTGGTATTATTATTATTTCCTTTTGCTACAGACATTCTATTTTTATTTGCAGGTCTTTGTATTTTGTTATCTTCTCCATTTCCTCCTCTATTTCACTGTCTCCAGATCACTGCCACATCCACTTTCTAGACGTTTTGTCTTTCTTATTGACAGCTATTAAACCTGGCGTGTTATGCGGCAGATACCTGTCTCTTTGAATTCTAAAATTCCAAAGCATTTTAACTTCTTCGTTTTCTATTACTTTCTGTAGTTTATGATCCCACCAGTTCTTGTTTGTACAGAATTGGTAATTTCTGCAGATTCCAATCCACCGTTATTGCTACTTTGTCATGCCTTTTTTTGCAGTCTGTGAGAACTTGTATTAGCTAAGCAGGTGGTCCACTATTTCTTCAGTCTCTGCAGAAGAAACAGTTGCTGTCTGTTGCTGTTTTCCCAGCAATAGACAGCAGGTTTTCTAGCTTTATATGCATTTTGTACAATAACAATAAAGACTGTACTGCACTGCACTACACTACACTGCACTATTTGTCCTTAAGCCTTGATCTTGTGCAGCCAGAATTAGCCTCTCTGTCTCTTTCTTCAACTTTCCTGTTCTTAGTCATTGCCAGGTCTTGTAATGTACTGGCCATGTAATATTTTATCTTCCCATGTCACTTTTCTATTCTGCATTTGGTCCTTCTTATAGGCCATTTTAGTCTCTCCGGTATTCAGTAAGCCTTCCGGGTATATTGTTATTATTATGTGGTGTTAATCTTTGGTGAGATTCACAGCCTTTGGGGCTGGTTGGTAGCTCAACAG